GGGGATCATAAAAAACTAGATTATCTAGACTGTAAATCAGGTCATTATATCAGAGAAAAAGAATTCACACACCAATTTAGTCATATGTGTGCCTTTAGATTTTAATGGTCCATTTAGACCAAGGGAGATAACAAGATTGCATTTTCTGACTTTCACACCCAACTGGATCCCTTGCTGCAGGCCTTACAAAGCCCAACCAGCATAGTGAAAAAATAATTAACATAATCCATAATCCATTAATCTCTACTCAGCTGCCCTACTACTAAAGACAAAGATAGGTCTATTCTTGTCTCTATTTTAAGTGATAAACTTGAATTAAGTCTTAAAAGAATAAACAAAATAGGCGCATGATCCAAAATCAGAAAACAAGCTTAAGAATATGTAACTTACTGGAGGAAGGTACACAGCAGATCCGAATCTTGGTTTAAACCAGCTCATTACGTTAGCATCAATCTCCAATGATCCAAAATCAATCCATTGCTCAATATGGGCCTAATAAATAACATATAATAGTAAGCATAACAAAGGGCAGAAGCATCACAAGCAGGTTCACTCATCAGGATTGAGACAAATTAAAACACATAAAATAAAACTGCACTTGAGCCTTGAGGTTTACACACAAAAAAACAACACAGAAATAGAGTTGCTTACATAATCAATCAGAGAAGAACCAATAAGAGGATTGTCAGCCTTCAAGCGAGCAACTGAAGCCAGACATAAACAAAGTTAATTTACAGAACACCAATAAGATTTTATAAACGTAATTAGATAAACAGTATAGCCTTACCATAACGTGCAATGGCGTTACTCTCAAAGATTGGACCATCAGGTGTTACCAGCAGGGGAACCTAGAATCATATCATAGAACCATTAAAACATAAACCCAAACCAGCATTTAATTTAGTAAATAGAAATCACACAACAGTCTACCTTCCCAATAGGGTTTAACTTCAAATATTCAGGAGTCTTGTTGGTGACACCCATCTCAAAGTCAGGTGCAAGTTCAACTTTTACACCAGTGTACTCCGCAACTATGCGGGTCTTGAAACCATATTCGTGTCCCTTCACTGCATACAAGACCTGCAAAGTAGATCATACATATCTATTAGTAAAGGAGGACCAGAAAATTGTTACTGATGACAAATAGCTGAAATCAATAGCATATCAAGCTATTTCCACTGAGGATAATATAAACTGTAACAGACTCAAATTCAGTGACAAAAAGAAAAACAAACCCCCGAAATTGCATGTGTTCAGATGGGTTTATAATATTATTTTTAATATTCCACCAATACTATCAGATCAAAAATCATTTAGTGCAAATAAAGTTTGATTCTGAAAACAAATCCAACTAAGAAGATTCAAAATTGACTTGTATCCAACATCAAGGGAAAAATAAAATCACACATGATCTTAGAATTAAGAACTTTTAAGATGAAACCAAACATAAATCGACCACTATGAACGATAAGACATGAACTGCAGTTTAAAACGCCCAAAGAAACAAACTCACCAGAGCCATGGCTTTTGCGGAAAAACGTTTTCACTCTGACTTGAGATCAGAAACATGCAAAGCCAAAATTGAAGTCTTCTGTTCAGTAATTGATAACAATAAAAAACACAGAGGAGAAGTTTTTTCCCTAGAAATTCAACTCACAGAGAAAGAAAGAGAACGAGGGAGGGACCCGTGAGCTGGAGAATTTCTATTTAAACCTCACACTTCTCCCTATGTTCACTATTTTGTCATATATTCATCCTTAGCACTAAAACTATAAATAAACCCTACATCATTTAATTTGAATGCTACTAAACGAACCATAAAATTAACTGAATACACCCTATGATATAAGTACTCCTTAATATTTAAATCAAAATGTAAAATTAACTAAGTACATCCTATTTAACTATAAAAAATACTCATGGTACACCCCTAATACCAATCTAAGTTTCTCTTTTTACATAAATTTGTGTCCTCTATTCAGATTTTGGGTTTGCATCAAAATCTTTAATTTCGTAAGTTGTTGTGGAAATAGATTTGTTAGCTCATTCAATTCGAAGTTTGATTCTTGTAAATAGGGTTTAGGATTGAACTTGTTGCCCTCTAAACCCTATTCTTGTAAATCCTTGTGATTTTCTTTATTTATTTCTTATTTTTTGGATTGAACTTGTTGCCCTCCAAACCATCCCATCCTCCTCAAAATCCCATCTAAATAGAGAAAACCCACCTCCAAAATCTCAAAATCCTGAAATTGAAACCAACCCATCTCCACAAGACCCATACAAATGGTGAAGGACACAATTTGCCCCTAGATCATGTAATTAATGGCTTCCTTTTGGCCATTGTAATTGGTGTCCTTAGTTACAGTCAGCACATCCACCCAAAGCTCGTCTCTGTCCTTCATTGCTTATATATATATAAAGAAATCCAACTAATCATTGTAGCAACCCTCGCTTGGAGCCATTTGGGTTTAGATCTCAAATCCTATTTCAACGAGGCATACTGCAAAACTTCTGGGGTAGAAGATGGAACCTCGTGGTCACCTATGTCTTACGCCCATCCATATATGAACTCAAAAGGCCAGGAGAAGAGGGATGTTAATTTTTAAGAAGGGTGGTGATGGTACATACATTGGGTTAAAGTGATGAGTAAAAATGTTCCCTTGATTATGATTGAATATGGTCATTAGTATGGTGTACTTATTAAATTTATATTTGTTTTACAATTCAATATATCCTTTTTGGTCATTTTATATTAGGGTAAATTAGTAATTCAATAAGTAGTTTGGTAGTAGGGTGTACTTGGTTAATTTTAGGGTTGGTTTAGAAGCACTCTTTAATTTTTATAAACATACCTAAAAAATGACAGCTGGACCTAATGAATTTAATTTTGATTATTAAATTATTTTGATGCCCTATTGAGTGTTTTGTGCTTTTTTATGAGGTTTTGGGGTCGAATTTGTTTTAAGAAATCAATGGTAGTTTTGTAATTTAAAAGAGGTTAGAAGCCTTTTTGTTATGTTGTAAATGAGTTTTGGGTGTGTTTCTAAAGTCCATTTCATATAAGTTTTTTTATAATTTGGACTCCTATATTGGGTATAATAGTGAATCAGTTTTATTATTGTGTAAAAAGAGAAAAAAGGTCATCCAACTTAATACTTAACCCTAATACATTTATACACACCCCCCACCACTCTTCATATTAGTTTTAGAAAAATACAAACTCCTCTATATCCTATTGCCAAATTACTCTTCTCTTTAAAGATATAAAACATTGAGGAGTCTACCTCTTTAAAATCTGCATGGGAGCTGATGGAAAGGCTATTTACACTACCTTCATGTAAGTGAAATTTGTTCTTGCCGAGGTAAGTTGCACCTTCTTCTCTACGATGCAAATAAATATCTCCTCATTTAATTTCTAATTTAGAAATCTTGATTTGGTCTAGGATCTCTTTCCATTGACAGTAAACGATATAATGTAATAGCAACGAGTCTGTCCGTCTTGCGGCAAGCTCATGGGCCTTCATCTTCTTCTAAAAAAATAGGGGCATTCTTCATCTTTTCCCCCACTATTCAGTTTAGATATATGCTTTTTTCTATAGTCTGTAGTAGGAAGTAAGTGGGGTTTAAATAAAAAAATACTTTTTTTTCTTCTTTTTTTTCCAATTTAGGGTGTATTTAAGGGTAGTCTGGGAAAATAGTGAGGTTTTCTTAGCAATTATTAAAATTTAAATTAGAAATTGGGGTGAACTTAGAACACGAGATGAACAAAGAGAAGTGTGAGGTTTAAATAGAAAATATCTTCTTCCATGAGAGCACAAGTGATGCAAATGAATGAGAGAGCAAGAGACAATATAGTGCTAGGGTTTTTGTTGCGATTAAAAATGACTATAGCCGTTTATGGGTCGCGTCATATTTCAATCCAGCCCACCATCCGACCCAATTTAAGCCCACCGTGCCACCAAGATAATATCTTGGATATTCAATTTCCTATTGAGACTTCCAATAACTTTTCTATTTTCTTCTATAGGGGAGAAAGGAACACCCTAGGTGCCCACGTGTCAAAACAGGTATAGCCGAGCAGTTGTACTATTATTTTTTTTAAACCCAAGTAATGTTGGGCCGCTGTACTATTTTGCGGAAAAAAAAAAGAATATAGCCGCGCGGCTATATTTTTTATAAACAAAAAAGGACCCTTCCCAGCGTAGAGTGAAAACCAGTATAGCCGCGCGGCTGGACTATTGTTTTTATGCCCAGCAATGGCCGCGCGTCTATACTATTTTTTTTTGAAAAAATTACCGTGGTAAAGCTGCGCTCATCACCTTCTTATGTAGGCCTTGAAATTTTGCCAACTATATTTTCCATGTTTTGGTCTGAACTATATTTTCCATTGTTCTTGCCACTTTGGACCAATTGCTCACTCTCATAATGGTTTTGAACAAGTAAAGAGTGGATATGAATTTACTCATGGAGAAGATAACACTTCAAATGGGGTCTCAAAATTTGAACCAAAGTTGACAATAATCATTGGTCAAACCAAATTTACCATAAACAAATTGAATATGTGTATTGTAAAAAAAAAAATTAAACCCACAAACACATATTTGAGAGGAAAAAAAAAAAACTTGCACATTGGTATATAGGGTTCTGAATCTGATGATTCAAATGAAAACAAAAAAATTGTTGCTGCAACTGCAAATACAAGATATTCATCTACTCTTAATTGTGTTGTCCAAAGCCCCTCAATTTTCTCTTTCTCAGAGGACTAGGCATATCAAATTTTATAGTGTCTAGTTCTGGAAAAGCAATACCAGGATCCTTACCCTCTTTCATCTCCCTCCTAATTCTCTCTACTCTGTCAAGCACTCCCTTAACTGCTATGTCAAATGCATCTTCAACTGTCTCCAATCTTGGTGCTCTTGGATCTGCATATATTATCCTTGGGATCAACCTTATGACCTCCTTTCTCATTGCTGATACTTGACGCTTGGGAATTCTATGCAATGTCTCATTGATCATCACCTTTTGGTCCCTGATATCTTTTTCTGATGTGAACAGAGTATTTGGATGGGGTGTTGGGGAAATGCCACAAGTACTGAACATGAGACCATCTCCAGTCATGGGCTATATCCCAAATATAGCCCTAAAATAATGCAAAACAACTCTAGCTTAGGCCAAATTTTTTGTTGACCCCATGCATGTGCTTTTAAAGAAGATAAATTATCAAGTGTGGGTAAGAGCATAAATCATCTCGTGTAAATGCATATCCAACAGCCAATAATAAAAACGTTGATGTCAACAATATATTTTTAAAAGCCTTTTTAAATGTTTTCAATTCGTGTTGTTTAAGAAAAATTTATAAAAAAAATTATACAAATTTATAAATAAACTCAATCCTAAACATGTATTTATAAAAAAACCCAAACACTATTTAAACATAGAAACACATTCAAAATCAACCTCAAAGTCAACAATTGTATATTTTTTGGGTGTGTTTATAAATGAGTTTTGAGTGTGTGTCATGATGGGTTTTGGGTGTGTTTATAAAGTGTTTTGGGTGTTGAGTTTTTTTATAATTTCAGCTCATATTTTGGGTGTTTTAGTGAAACTCCCAAAAAATTATTGGTCAGACCATTGAAACCCAACCTTTTTTTATATATATATAAATGTGGACACCTTTTTAAATGTTTTCAATTCGTAAAAAAATTAAAAAAAATTACTAGTCATGACCGTTAGAGGTCAGACCATTGAAACCCAACTTCTTTTTTTCTTTTTTCTTTAAAATTTATAAATGTGGTCACCTTTTTAAATGTTTTCAAGTGTTGTTTGAAAAAAAATTTAGAAAATTCTTGGTCATGAAATATTCTCTAAACAATAGTTTATTTAAATTAAACAATAGTTTAATTAAATTAAACAATACATAATTGTGGAACGGATGAGTATTATATCATAATTTTTCTCAAAATAATAAAAAATGAAGAACCTTAAAAATATAGCTCTGGAGATTTAACAACTTAACCTTGCAATATTCTTTAAAAAATTAATATTTTGAAGGGCTAAATATTTAACTTCGACTACACTTGGCCTTATGACTGAAGATGACCTAAGAGGAACCGGGATGGAAGAGAACTGGAATGGAGCCTGCCAAGATGGAAACAAACGTTGATCGCGGCGTATATGAGTCCCCAGAAGGCTACAAGCAAAAACCTGATGCTTCAAATACCTACATCACAATTAGGGGGTCATCACACTTGTTTGCACCACGGTGGCAGCCTACAAGTTTGCATAAGGTTGAAGATCGGCATTTTAAATGTCTAAACCATTCTCCAAAATCGAACTGCAAAAACATGGATTATAAATTATACTTGTCACTCAAATACACCAAAGACTTAACTGTCTAAAATTGACCACGGAATCGAACCCTAACAAAAAAAAGATAGACAGACCAAAAACACACCCTTGCAGTAAGGGATTAAATATTTCACTTAAAGCACTTGGCATCCAACAGAGCCTCGCCCTCAAAAGGCTCCTGGTCTTCAATCATCTGGTTGACACGCTCCTTCTGGTTTTCATCTGAAAGGTCAACCTTCGTCCAATTGTAGAGCTCCATGTCATAGCACTCCTCCATCACAAATGGAGGAATTTCTTGCCCACGGAAGAGCCACAACCCTTTCACCTTAAATGGTGGCTCTGAGCCTAT